CGGCGAAAACCGCAACTCCGCATTCAGCGGTTACAACTATGGCGCCCCCCAACGCGGTGGTGCTCGAACGGACCTCGCTTACGAGCCTTACTCACATTCTCGGGTTTAAACGGGAAGATTGACGAGTGTAACGACAGAGAGGAGAGGACATGAAATAGACTGGACTGGACAGTATACATTTCATCAGTTTGCATTTGCCGGCGCTTGGTTTGAGATACGATTCGGTTCGGATCTAGGCGCATCTAGGGGTTTAAGAGTTCGATAATGCGTTGCAAGAGAGGATAGCTAGTACATCTTCCCAGATCGATCGATCCCGTAATGAAATCCACGATTGTATTTTGAGCCCAAACCAAAACCCCATATCAAGTCTACCACGTGAAACCTTTGTATTGTATTTATTGATCAGAGATTCGACAGCGCTAATCACGTGCTTGGGCCTTAAGATACTTACACCAGAGGAAGGTAGAATTTAAAAAAATATGTTCTAGTCCAAACAACCATTTTTGATAGACAGCACATAATTAAGTACTGTTATGAGGGCACTCTGGTAATGTCTCCCGACGTAAGTCTACTTTCCTTGTTAGAAAAAAAGAAAATAAGAAGAGAGAGAGAAAGAGTCTGGATGAGAAAAGCCCCACAAAATTTATTAGCCTCTCTACCCCGAACCCCTTCAGAAATCAACCAAAAAAAGAAGTCAAGGACTCGGCATGCAGTTATTAATGCATGTCAACCGCAGGCGGCACCTCCCGGCGGGCTCAGCCGCGAGTATGTGCTAAACCCTATCACGGCGCTCGCGTTCTTGACGCTGGGCGAGAGGCAATACCTGCTCGCGGCCGAGGACACGGATATCAAGGTCTACGACGTCGCGGCCTCGCGACTCTGCGGCACATTACCGGTGTTTCGGGCGCAGCCCATCCATGGGATCTCAATCCCCTGCGCTGCTCAGGACGGCGGTGGCAGCAGCAGTAGCAGCTCTAGCTCTTCGGGGAGCCCCTCGCAGATCCTCATCTGGGGTGGCCACGCCGTGAAAGTACTGCCTGCCCGCGTCATCCAGGAGTTGATATCCTCCAGTCTCGAGCCTGGCGACGGCGATGGCCGTGCACATCGCGATGACCATGGGAGGTATGGAATCGTAGGCACGACGCTATCCGCGCCCGAAGCCACAGCCCGCGACTGGATCTTCGACGGCCGCGTATCGCCCTTAGACGATCACCACATCGTCCTACTGACGGCGCATAACGAGGTTATCCAGGGGCGCGTAAGCGCGGATCGGAGCAGCCTCGTACTAGGACGAGTGCAGTCGCCCTCGCGGCCGATTCTATACTCGGGAAACCTCCTCTGGGTGGAGCGGGACTCCGTGCTCGTGGCTGCCGGGACGGTGTTCGGCGAGATCGTGGTCTGGAAATGTCGCCTTGGGTCTCATCTCGAGACCGATAGCTACGATAGCGGTTCGGGGGCGGAAGATGTGCAGGAGCGACAAAAAACAGCCGGCTGCGAGGTCCTCTTCGTTTTCGCGGGTCACGAGGGCTCGATATTCGGCGTCCATATATCGGATGAGATACTGATGAGCTCTGGGGAGACCGTCAGACTGCTTGCTAGTTGTAGTGACGATAGGACGATCCGGATCTGGGATATTACGGGGCGAAGTGATAAGCCTACGAATGAAGACGGCGGGTATGAATCACAGATCTCCGGCGTTAGGCAGACTGGGTTTGGTGATTCCATCGTCGGCTCGATAGGACCAGTCAACAGCCACTCGAGATGTGTTGCGATGGCTATGGGCCACATATCCAGGATATGGCAGGTCGAGATCAGGAATGGGGGCTCCTTTGCGAAGAGAAATATGGTCGAAGTGTACTCCTTTGGTGAAGATGCTACGATGCAAAGGTGGCATCTTGAGCTTGGCGCTGACCTCGAGGCGAATTCAAAGACGGCTGATATAGGAGGGTCAAGTCACTCTACCTCTAAATTGACGCACCACGAGACCTTTTCAAGCCACAGCGGGAAACAAATCTGGTCGCACGCTACCATTTCCTGTGAAAATGGTCTTCTAATGGCTACTGGGGGTGGAGATGGCAAGATAGCCCTCATGGAGAATGATTCCGTTCATACACTCAAGAGCTCGGGTAGTGCAACAGGCAACGGTACGGGTTACCACCCGCGGTCTTTCCAGGAACTCGATGTGTCTCCAATGTACCTTATTCAGGAATGCCAACACCAAAGCCTCAAACCTACGTCTTCCATCTCGTCTTTCAAGCATGGAAATGGAAAGGAGATGTTCCAAAGCTTCACATTCGTCACAGACGACAGGCTACTCATCACGACAAGATCGGGCCGCCTGTTTCTCGGTAGTTTTAGTATTAAAACTGAGTGGAAAGAGCTCCCAATCCCCGACGCCATCCGAACGACCATACAATCATATACCATCCTCAGAAGTTCTAGAAAATCTTCGACGGCTTTTATAGGCGCTCCAAACGGCGAGTTGTTCTGCTACCAGGAAGCCGGCGGTGGTTCACTTCGGTCAATCCATAAAGCAGCGCGGAAGATCACAGAAATAATATGCCTTTCTGATAATTCCGTTCAGTCTCCTCATACGCACTCTGTCTCTGACGGAGGCTCTGGCGGGTACATTGAACTTCTTGTCACGGTATATGGGAGTGTGCAAGCGGAAATTCTCAGTCTTGATCAAAACCACAACTTAATACGACGCATAGAGGTAACAGTGCCCGACGGATTCGTTGTCACAACTGCCGCATGGTGCCATAACTATCTAGTCCTCGGCTCGAGGAACGGCAGTATGTCAGTCTTCAAGCCGACTACTGATGATGGCTACTCCCTTCTTTTGACTATGGAAGTTAATATCGGCGACAAAATCACATCAATTCTTCCACTTCCACGACGCTCCGAGAACTCGCCGCTCTATTTTCTGACAACTTGCCGCGATGGGAAATACAGGATCTACGAGATCCTCGGTATATCGGGTACCTTCCAAGTCCGCCTTCTCGACGAGACGAGGCCACCATTTGGCCCCTTGATTGAAGGCTCGTGGTTACTCGATAAGCCAGGCGGGAAACAAGACCTCGTACTCTACGGCTTCCGAAGCAAGTACTTCGTGGCCTGGAACGTGACGCAGCAAAAGGAAATCGCGACAATCGACTGCGGCGGCGGACATCGCGTGTTCGACCAGGTACAGATAGCGGGGAATCCCGAGGGCTTGAGGTTCGCCTGCACGAAGGCGTCGCAGATGAAGATATTCTCCCAGACGCGAGCGCCACACGTCCACTTGAAGACGGGCGGCCACGGCCGCGAGATCAAGGCCTTGTCGGCATCGGGGAAGTACGTGGCTACGGGCGCCGAGGACACCATGATTCGCATATGGGAGCTTCGCGAGAAGAACCCGGCTCGGGAAGAGGAGCAGCCTCTGCGGTGCATGCTCGCCTTGGAGAAGCATAATACGGGCATTCAGGGACTGAAGTGGTTCAAAGATCAGTATCTCTTCAGCAGCGGCGGCAACGAGGAGTTCTTCGCCTGGCGCATCACGCCGCTGGAAAGCGAAGTCTGCGCTCTTGGCGTCGTATGCGAGGCCGTCTTCCCAGACCGCTCCGAAGTGGGCGATTTGCGGATCACGGACTTCGACGTACGGTGTGTCGACGAAGACGTCAGCTCGAACGATGGTGTTAGTAGCATCGACATGGCGCCGCAGAAGTCGCGGGAGGAACCGAGGTTCTGCATCTCGATGGCCCTCTCGAACTCCGTAGTGCAGAGCTACCTGTATTCCGCACAGCACGGGTTCCAGCTGTTGGGCAGGCGGATGTATACCGGCGCCTGCCTCACGCAGCTCCGACACTTGAACCTCACGGACGAACGCCATCCGCAGGTTCTGGTGGCTGCCACTGATGGGCGTTTAGCTGTGTTTGCGGATTTAGGATCGCCCGGGGACGAAAGTGAAGACCTGATAGACGTCCCTGTCACGAAACTCCACCAGAGCACCGTGAAATCACTGGACGTGCGCAGCGTCGCCACAGACGACGGGACCTCGTACCTAGTCGTCACAGGCGGCGACGACGACGCGATCGGGGTGTTACACCTCCACTCCCCTTCTCCCACTTCACCACCCATCGAGCCGACGTCCAGGGAATCCACAGCCGCGAATCCCGGGAGTGTCCCGAGCTCTCCCTCTCCCCCCTCCCCGGTTTCAGTCCCAGCCCGATACGAGATCCGCAACAAATCCATCGTCCGCTCCGCCCACGCCGCCGCGGTGACGGGTCTTGGGATCCTGCGGCTCGAGAACGGGGGGTGCGACGCGGTGGTCGTCACTGCGAGTAACGACCAGCGCGTCAGGACGTGGAGGCTTGCGGGCTGGCGATCCGCCTCCCCGCAGGTCCACTTGCTCGACGATCGGTACAGCGGCGTCGCGGACGCCGGGGACTTGGAGGTTGTCGTGGGGGGCAGGGTCTTGGTCGCGGGCGTGGGGATTGAGGTCTGGGGTGTTTCGTGATTGCGTATTTGCTGGGGATCTTACTTGCTTGTTTTGAATACAAAAAGATCTCGTTGTTGCTAGACACGATTGCTACTGAACTGGAACCTACCTACCTAGAGAGTGGGAATTCATCATGCAACCGAGAAGCAATGAATATGCGTAGTTGTGAGTCTTGGTTGTGTTTTCTCTCGCATGTGTTGTCTCTCGTTGAGCGTGAAATCATTCGAGAGTCCCAAATACTCGGTGAGCTTTCTTTACATGCTAGTATTCCTGTTCGCAATGTCCCTTAGCTGAGGAGCCTAATCAAGAGCAGACCTCGCATGAACTGTTGCAATGTTTTGAAACATTGATTATACTCATCAGGTTCCCCTTAGAAGATTACTACGGTGCTTGTTGGTAGGTCTGGTTGGGCGTTTACTCCTTATTACAGTATTATCCGATGTTAATCTGGGCTCTGTTTGTTATATAATCAAGAACTATCCCTCTTTTGCTCAGCAAATCAAATCCGATTTGATTGGTTGTTTTCGTGGCCTAGTGGTTAGGGCGTCTGTCTTACAAAAGTGTCTATGACCTTGGTGAACACAGAAGATCGCCGGTTCAATCCCGGCCGGAAACATATCATGTTCTTCTTTTTATCTCTTCTTTAGAGCAACTTCATTTTTAAACACAACAGCAGCAGTGTTAACATGCTTGATACCTGTGTATTATACACATTTGAGGGCCTAGCAGCATAGGTTAATCTTGGTTTAACTAAAGATAATTATCCCTGGATTACTTATGCAATATAACACACTATTACTCTTTGCTTTACATAAGCGTCAAATGGACATATAAAAAGTCCTAAAGAATTAATCTGCAAGTTTAATACTTTGTATAAAGGACAATAATATAGCAGGTATTATGATTACGGTTCCGTCTCTGTAGGCTGCGGGTCTGCAGGACTGTGATAAAAAGTGCAGGTTTATACATTATATTAGGGTTGCATCGCTTGTCGGACCATGCTTAATTACTCCCCAAGCAACCCACCATGACATGCATGTGATCCTTCTGAGATGATGACCAAAAACTTCTCCTGGTTGCATCGAGAGCCCGGGTGCGGCCGGAATGATCTAGCCTTTTTGTTTGAACTGGTTCTGCATGTCGTCAACGTATATGCAGCAAATTTGGAATATGATTGGTAAGATGTTAATATTCGGGCATGACGTATATGCACCGTTGAGTTGCGGTTAAAAAAAGACGCATGTTGGTTCCAATATTGAAAAGAAATGAGGTATAAATAACGGAAGTTGCTTCCATCTAAATGTTCAATTCAATTTTCTCATCTGGCGATAATACCTCGAACTGAAGACACTTTCCCTTTGAACATTAAATCTTCCCTAGTCCTTTCTCCAATTCTTGGTCGAGTTATATCTCTTCTCTGGACCCGACACTTCTTGCTCTCATTATACCAACAAGCCCAAATGGCCGGAGTACTTCCAGACAATATACGCAGCAATATGGTTGAGGATCTATACACCCAACACTAGAAAAGGGGCTCTCGCGGTGATCTCTTCGGCATCGATCACGGCCTGAATGATGTTTAGGAGATAGCGGCATGGTTTAACAAGGGGCGCAATGGCTACTCGGATAGGAAGCTAGTGAGAGGCATCGAAGTCGTCTAGACAGACAGCAAACCCCGCTTCCAGGCAATAAAATCGAACATGTTGCGGTAAAAACGACGCCGTTAATACCTTGCCGGTACTAACGGTATATATACTCCGTGACAGAACAACTCGTCCTTATTCGATTTCGACAACGGGCAGAGAGTGGTAAAGATGATCATATACATAGGAGACCTTGTCGACAAATTTTCTTTGGCAACGAAAGGGGCCACGTGGGAACAGGGTGGTACGGGCGGAGGGGAGCGCAGAGGAGATGTACGAAACGGCCCTCTCGAACTTGTCTGGCTGTTAAATGCTAGTGGGCTTGTCTCTCTTGGAGCAGCTTCTTTCGTTTTATACAACAATTAACTTGCTTGATGGTATAGTACTCAATTGCCTGACGGAGGTGTGGGGAGAGATCTGGTGGGATTGGGTTGCCACTGTTTCAGACGATACAAGATCAAGTGTAATCAATTTAGTTGAGCCTACTTCTCGAAATCTATCGATATAGTGAGGTGTAAAGGACTCCTACCTCCCATTTTAGAACACCAAGAAACCAAAAGGTGCCGACGACATGTTAGGCCAGAATCCACTCCTGCGTCGTGAGCTGTGGCCCCCCAGTTAGGCCTTGGATCCCTTCCCCAGATGTTTGCCAGTTCATCTTTTGTTGCTCTTTAATCAAGGGTAATCATCGCAGATGAATTGCCAACAGTTTTGAGATTGTAGATTACAACTTAGCCGAGTAAGTACCTGTTACCCAATCTGTCAGCTGTTCAATTGTCGAGTGGTCTAGGCCCTGACAAAGCCCAACCCCATGAAAACCCATGGGCTCTTGGTGGGCCCCAGCCAAGATCCCAAACCCCGAGAACAACCCCGGCAATGCCGACTGGTATTTAGGGCCCCATGGGCGCGCCAAGCTGTGGGGCTTTGCCACTAACTAGGAACTGGGGGTCCACCTTGAGCCCTAGCCTTGGGCGAAGCCATTGACAACGTCCATTGTTGAAGGCAATTAACGCGAACTCTTGCACTAATTCATACATAACTACGTTTGGTTATAGCGAATCACCGAACACACCAAAACAGGTAATCATTTGGTTGTAAGGGAAGAAATCTAGATTTCTTTCTAATTAAATGCTTTTTCAGCTCCGCGACTTCGAGACCCAACTTTTGGACCCACAATAGTGAGTTTTCTGTATTTTTATTGCTTCATATACCCTCGGCTAGTGCTTCTCGAAGTCGCGGAGCTGAAAAGGCATTCAATTACACTGGATACTCAGAACTTTTTTTTCTTTCGTAGACAATATATAAAGTAACCAAGAACACGATGAGAACATTGTAGCTACGTTATCAAATATTGTTAGTAATGGTTAAGGTTTTAGAATCACTGAAATTACCCATATTTGCTTCTGTTGCTTACTAGGGGCTATAGAAAGGGGATAACAAGATCAATTAATGCAGGTTTCTTGGTGCTCATGTGATTGATGCCTCTTGTTTAACTTTTCTCGAAGTCATTAAATGCTTTTTGGTAAACCTTGTGGGCACTCTGACCGCTGTTGTCCAGAAATTGGAATCCTTTCGCTAATTATCACCTACGTTTGCGGGCCCGCAGTCTCGCATGTTCTTATCTGAGCAACTCTCGCAATTTCTCACCTTCAGATGTTCAGAACAACTCTTTTAACTGCAATAGCCTATCTACGAATCGTTCTCACTATTACAAAAAACACGGTACCCAATAGGGTTAATAGTTTAGAATCACCGAATAGGCTATTCATGCCGTCTTCACTGAGACTTAAGTACTAAGCGATACTCGTACTTCGCAAGGAACTGCTACTATTATGAAGTCTCTAACTTATCTAGTATGTTCCTGGTGGAGAGCGTTGTCTCGGCTGACTGTCTATTCCGACAAGTGCATGCACCTTGAAACCGCTCGGCTATCAGACTGGGCCTGATGAGTAGCAGTATGAGCATTCTATCCCAGCTCTTCAAATCTGTGCAGAGTTGACAGTACGTCCTGATCACAAGGCCTGAGTATAAATACATCAACACCGACAGGCTCTGTCTTGGTTTGGCATCAGGAGAACAACTTCTCTCGGCTTCTTGATATCCACAGACTTCTCTTGCTTCCTCTGCAGCCTCAAACAGCAACTTCCCTCGGCTTCTTTGCCTCCAGACTTCTCCTGCTTCCTCCGCAACCTCAAACAACAATTTGTTACAATGGCTCCCACTCAGGCTTCCCAAGCGGCACTTTTCACCACCTTGCCGGCGCCCAACGTTCAGCCACCTCAACTACCCAGCGGCACCGTGTCGCTGTACAAGGACAATTCGTGGTCCAGTCCTAAAGTTGATATCCATACCTGGGATTACTTGTTCAATGAGCGTCATCAAGTTCCGAACCCCATGGTTGATCAGGGTACCTGGCTTGCGTTCAATCTCCCCCCCGGTACCGTCATGACACTCCTGGACCACATAACGCCGTTACGTCCTGGAGAGAACATCGCTGATCTCAAGGATACTGGTTTTTCCATTGACTTGATTGGTGTCGGCCATACGGTTGCTGTTGATCTTGTGGAGTACAAGATGAATGATTCCATTGCCTCGTTCTTCTGGCGAACTGTGGATCTCACTCTTGGAGCCATCGAACTGTTCAATGATCTGGACTTTACTCACATTCGCCAGATTATTTTCCTCGCCGACTTTCAACCTGGCGTTGTCCATGATCTCAGCAGGTGGTATATGAATGACCAAATGACGTCCATCCGTTGGAGGCCAATGATAGACAGGCAGACGGCCGCCATCTTCGAGCATCCTGATGGGGCGGGTGTCTCTTACCGCAACATAACGGGCATCATTGCCAACAAGGAAATATCCGATCTCCGCACGGTCGGGTTTGACAACAAACTTAGTTCATTCCGTTGGGACGCGGTCGTTCCTGTGAAAGAGATCATTGCCCCGTTCTTTGTCACGACGGCCAGCACAAAAACCTCGTCCGCCCTCGTCAGCACTCTTGAGGGAACCAATAATAGTTCTTCCCCCCAGGTTGAAATCTTGGGCCTGCGAAACGAGGTGGCGCAAACAATTACGGTCTCCACTGAGGACCAGTTCGTCTCGAGTATCTCGTCGTCACTCACCCTCAGTACTTCTGAGAAAGTAGGCGTGCCAGGAGCGGGAGAGATTGAAGCAACTCAAACCTGGTCGGTGTCGGTCGGGTTCCAGTACTCTAACACCACCACAAGAACCACGTCCACGACAAACACTGTTGAGCTCAACATTTCACAGCAAGTTGTCGCGCCCCCTTTCACTACGTGGAAGGCAACATTGCTGGTATTCATTGGCCAGCTTCCACCAACAATGTAAGATACCTCTAACTGGCGCCATGCGGGGTAGGGGTAGTGACTGACAAATAATCATAGCTTCAAAACAACTGCAACTCGCTGGTACAACGTGCCAGTCTCTGGCTCGCAGCAAGATCCCTCAAACAACAACTGGTATAAGCGGGTCGAGGAAATTCAGTTCACCATGAATGGTTCTCTCGCTGTTTCAACTAACACGAACATTCAAACAACTGATATTCACCACTAGTAGTAGCCGATGGTCTAGAAGTAGCAAGCCCTACGCTTCGCTATGATGAAACGTGGATATATTAAGCATTTATGAGACTGTTGGACTTTCTTTTAACAAGGTCTTGCTATATTCACTACTTGAATTCTGTTGGATGTTCTTATTCACAATCATTCTCGATCGGATCAAGGGTCCCATAAAGCTGTTGTCTCCTTATAACCCAAATTGAGTCTACCTATACTTATCACATTAGCCCTTGTCATATAAGTTCTTTGACGTGAAGTGACATGTCTTACAAGCCGTAGGCAGTATAGAGGATTCCATTTTTGGATCTTAGAACTACCAGTCCTAAAGGCTTTCACACCAGCTCTTCAGCATCTATGTCCAATATTGCACATAAGGAAGGAGATGCCTACGT